CACCTAAATTAAATATCTTCTCTCATCTTATTTTTGACAGTTGAGTTTTTTGGCGTGTCTTAATCAACCCGTTATATCAGCAATCCTCTAAATTCTCTGAGCAAAGATGAAAAAAAGAAAAATGAAAAGTGTTTTTCAAGTCCATTTATGAGAATTAGCTGGATGCAAACAGACAGGAAAATCAAAAATTTGAATGTCAGTGACCGCTTACGCAAATAAAGCCAAATTAATGCAAATGCTTAATTTAGTTTCAAGAAAACAAAATTCCATTTGAATCAGCACAGCCTCAGTGGTGCAAAGATAACATAAACACAACGTTTCCTCGCGAGGGGAGGGGGTCGGATTGCAAACAGCTTAATGATTGTGTATTGTGTTTGTTGCACAATAAAACTCTGAGTTTTGACTTCTTTGAACTCCCGTCTGACCCTAACCGAGCCTCTTGCTGTTTGCATCAAAGAGCATCCTGTTGTGACCCCCGAACTGTAAAATGTGTTGTGGCTGAAGAGCACACAGGTCAGACGGTCTACACCTTTAGGGACACGCCGTTCACCTTCATCGGGCGCCGCTCGTGGCACGGCTGTTCCCCACGATCTGATAAACATTGCGTGACCAGCGCTCAGCTTAGGAAAAACAAACGTGAGTGAGCGAGGGTCTCGGCCCCCACCGCAAATCAGCTGTGCACTCTTGAGGAAAAACAGTTTCAGGGTCTCGTGACAGGGAAGCACACGGTGCTGCGGAGAGGGCTGACAGAGACACAATGCTGGGTTGAACGAAATCCTGTCCTGTTGATATGCATGAGGAACACAAAGCTCTTCTTGAACAAAAAATGTTGGCTTCCTACTAACAGGAGTGCATGTATCACTTAGTCAGGCTGCATAAATTGCTAGAAAAAGGCTTTACCAAACATTTCTAAGCCGTTTGTAAAGTTAAAGATAACTACAATCTTTCTATAGCATCTGGTTACATCAATAACAATCTTAGAGGATACTTTTTCGGCTGATTTTTTTATTGATTTGTAAATAATTTGTAATTCACTAAATGTGTATATAAAACGTCTGCATCAAATTAACATGTCAGTCCTCACATACTTTGCATCTTCCTTAAAATGTGCTTCTCATGAGCTAACGATGATAAATCAGGCAATATATGTCTGTTTAGGAGCTAGACTATATTTAGTTTGGTAGTTCAGAGGTTTACATGTTATAATAGTAATAAAAATCCTTGCTTTTCCAGCTTTATACCTTCATTCCTATATGTTAAAGTACAGTTGTGCTTGAAAGTTTACATAATAATAAATTAAAATTAACTAAATTATAATATAGTAAAATAAAATATTGATTCTGAATTTTTGTTTTAAAAAAATAATTATAAAGAAAAAAACTGTCCCAGACAAATGAAAGTACTTTGCAGATGAAGAGTGAAGCAACATACCTGTGAATAGGTGCAGAAACCTGACTGAACATTTGCTGAACATTGAAGAAAACACCTGAATTCAGTGATCGGCTCAAAGTGTTCCCCAACATATTGTTGGAGCCCTATCAGGCTTGTTTTATTTATTAATATATGCATATATTTATTTATTTAATTTTATCATTTTTATTTCTTATATTTAAGGATTTACTGGTAGCTGAACTTTCAAGCACAGCTGTAGGTTTGTTACCGATACAGGAAGGCCGGGTTTATTCTGCAGACATATTTAGGAAACTTGAATGTGATTATCCTTGAAATTCTCTCTAAACGTCATATATCTGTGAAATATGCTAAACTTTTCCTTTGAGTCTTTCTTTTAACTGATCAAATCTGCAAAGATTTTATTTTAATGGTGTAAAAAGTTATCAAAATATAGTGCAGGTCGATTTGATCAAAAATTCGATTTGATCACTTGCCATAGACATTTTACCTGGATGATTTGCACGTCTCAGCATGGTGTGCATTTAATCAGGAAAAAAAGAAAGAAATGCGTTTTTGGCCTAAAACGTGGCCGCTGCAGATTTATGAAAAGTTCAAATTTTAAAAGCGCTCATGCTAAAAGAGCTCATGCTGTTGGTGCGGAAATCCTGTTTATCATTAATGATAGAAATGGAGCTATTTCTATGCAAAAACTCTCTTTCTGTGGATGCGTAAAACTGGTTAAGACCTACTTGAAAGCAAATATTAAATGCAGCATGAGGTACGTTTGCAAATACCGTATATCCAATCCGGGATGATGAAGGTGAATACACAGCAGACTTCTTTGCTTTTTAACTATTCAAAATGAGTATTAACGTCTCAATTATTATCTGTGGACTCATAAAAACCCCAACAAAATATGCTAATGTTTGTGACAAAATAGGAGAAATGTCGAAGCGGCTGTAATGCTTTTCCAAACATGGTGAGCATGTCTTTGGGACGGAGAGAGTAAATCATAAAATCACAGTTTTATACAGGAAGAAAGCGGATAGTCAGGCACAGTATTTTTGGGGAAAACGCCTTGTTTTTGTTATTCTATAACAAGAGAAGGAGATGGTTGGGTGGGGGGGTTTTGAGGGCATGACGTTTGGCTCAAATTACTCTTTGGATGATGCCTGCTGCAGCTGAGCACACTGCACTGAAAGAGCCCTTCTTTTCAACCCCAGAATAAGTCATCCACCAGCTCAGACCTCGCTCCTGTTCCCAAAAAAACACCCCTCTGCTGCAGACCCCCCGCTCCTTCCTGCCTGCTTCCCCCTGGCAGCAGACCAAGCACTTCATGTGGCTGTCCTGGAGCAGGCTGGGGTTGGCCCCCCCACCCCTGACCTCAGAGGACACTTGTTTTCCAGTGGGACCAGGGTGTGTTGGTGTTGGCAGGGTGGAGCAGGGAGTTGAAGGGGTTCGGTTTAAGTTTTTTTTTTCCCCTTTGGGTGGGGAAGGTTAAAAGAGCTGGAACACTTTCACACGGCCTCTTTCGTGGAACACCTCCATACACCTGCAGAAAGTGGCCATTCGTTCATATTTCCAAACCAGAAACATGCCCTTTTCACTCAGGAAGTTTAGACTCTCTTGCTGCCTGAGGGCCGTTTCTGATCGACCTCCACTCATAACAGACTGGTCCTGTGAAAAAATCAGGTGACGCCCTTCCTGAAAAACACAAGACGTTTTTTTGCACCCGACGACACTTGTGTACTTGCAGAACCCTCATGCCTCAACTCGTCCCAGCGAGCTCTGATTAGGTTTTTTGTGATGGTCAGAGAAGATCTCACATTGTTAGGAGTTTGTTTACCAGAGAGCCGGAGTTAGCCAAATGAGATTCTGCAGAGGGTGGGTGGGTGAGTGGTTGGGGGGGTAGAGCTCAGAACAAAGAAACTGTTCACAGACCTGCTGGACTAACAGAGAAATAAAAGGCTTTCATGAACAAATCTAAATGGACCCAGAACAGAGAAAGGGGGTTTAGCTGATGTTGATACAGTATCAAGAGAAATTAGCTCCTCTTGCACAAGCAGATTAACTCCGCCTTGTCCTCGCTATCACCTAAATAAACATCGTAGTGATGCATCCAAAGAGCTCTTTACCCGAGGGTCCGGGGTTGTCGGCCTGAAGGGCTTTGGCCTGAATTTGGGCTTTTTCTAGGGTCACGGTCTCTTATGTCTTGGATTCCTGTCAGCATCAAAGTCCCTGGAACAGCTGGAAGTCGTGTCACTGCTGGCATTTTCATCAACTGGGATTTTTAGTTTGTATTCTTTTAGGACATTTTCCATCGAACTTTGATCGTTGTTTATTTCTGGTGGAGGAGTGAAACTGCTGTCTTAAAACCATCAAAGACGCTGTGACGAGTTAAATGAAACAGAATATGAAAGCTTTCAGACTGAGACGGTGTGAGGAGAGACTAGCATCCTGAATCACCTGTTACTGAGTGAAACTATCAGCAAGCAGGCATATAAATAATCTGAAACATGTCTCAGGCTCTCGTTATAAGTCAAACCGGTCTTCCTAATATGAGGTGGTCGGGGTCAGATCTTCACATAGTCCAAGTTCAGTC